CAGCAGGAGCAAACCTTTAGAGAATTACTATTTTGGTACAAACTTCCATGGAGCAAACCAAGAGATGCCATGGTGGGTTTCATTTCCAGGATGGATCTACATCATTGCTCAGTCTCACCTGGTTTACAGCACGTACTGCAATGCAAAAATGTCGTTCACGTTTACATTTTCAAGCAAAACTTACCACTGCTAGGCTCATTGCGGTATCGACTGATGTAATTATTCATGTCATCCTCTGAAAACAAAAAGGCAGCTATTAGAAGACCATTTATTTGATTAAACGGTTGAAATTCCACCCCGTGAAAGGCTCTCCTCTGCCCTGTATGCCTAGAGCACCACCTTAGCATGTTTTTAGGCCAGAAGACCAGGAGTGATTTGGCAGCACACTGCAGTCCCCACGCACCCTGTGGCTGCAGCCAAAGTAGGGATTATCGTTTGTTGCAGTTCTTTACAGCACCAGCCCGGGAACGAGGCATTCAGGGTTCCAAAGAAAACATGCTCCATGATCTTTCCAGAGACTGACACAGGGCTGACCAGTTCCCCAGGCCCGTCTCCTCACCACTTGTAAGGACGAGTGTAACCCTGGCCTTTTTCTGGTCAGCAGGGCCCTCCCCTCCCGCATATGGCACAAGGATAAAGCTTGCGTCTATCCTGACAGGCTGAACGGAGGGCACCAGCATAGACAGACCTACCTCTGCTGTACAGTTACCCCACCGAGTTATCTCCTTCCACACAGTTACTCTTCAGAAAGGGAGGCACTGCGTACCACGTGTGACCTAAGCCGCCTTCTCGCTCATGTTAACGTTAGTCACTCCCTGGCGAGACCCAGCGATCCTGGGAGAGCCCAGCACCCTGCTCCCTACCAGTCTGCAGCCATCCCCTTCTTCGGCCAAGGAGTTCTCCAGGTAGGGGCACTGGGAGGGCAGGTTTTAGTTCTCCTACAGGGATACTTCTATTTTCTTGCAATATTTTTTTTCATGTGGCCCAACACTGCTCCTCATTTTCATTTGCAGTCCCCTCCTGCGACCTATGCTGTTGCCACGCGGCACAGCAATGACATAACCATTGCTCCTGAGCAGCTTCCCTGTGTTTCTGCACTCTCTCTTCCCTTTTAGTGTTTTTAACTTGTTCCTGTGAAACGCAGTTGACTTAAAGAAAGAGGAAACAATATCCAGTACGTTTCCAGTAGAATGGCTAGAACTTCCCCTGTTCTACCTTAGATGACAGGGCCAATAAAAGCCACACGAAGAGTTTACCAAAACAAGTGGCAATGCCTCTCCAGCTCAGCACAAGCGCTGCTGTGGGAAACGAAAACCAGAGCCAGACAAGCCAGCTCTCTAGCAGTTGTAAATCCATGTCATTTTAATGTGTAAATCCCTACTTCTAAAATAACGTCTTTTTTTATTCATTCAGAATGAATAAAGAGTTTTGTTGTACATTACATATGTAATGTATAGCATAATATTAACATTACATTATCTGTTGGCTTAAAATATACTATAAAGATTTTTATGTGTCAAGGGTGTAGTACTACACTTGGAGTACATACATGAGAGCTACACCTGAACTTCAATCATAGTAAGATAAGAATGAAGACATGACCACAAAAGCAGCAGCTATATTGCATATACAGGTTTTAGATGCTGCAGGTGACGGTGGCATTTCCCGTCCTCTTACAGAAAAGCAGAACATTTTACAGTTGGTGAAAAAGAAAATAAAAAACTCCTCTTGTAGCAATTCTGAGCAGAACGCAAACATTGCTGCTAAGAAAACAGCAGCGGCAATCCAGGAAGAATTTCAAGCTTACAAGCAACCTGACCCGCCCAATTTGCGGTGTATCGTGTGCTCTAAAAGCATTCTCTCCTTTTAAGTGCTCTTTTTGATACCGTGTTCCAGAAAACCATGCTCATCCCTTTGAGCCAGATTTCCTTCATCCCCCTGGGTCTCTGTGGCTACAGTCCTGCCTTTCACAGCACATTGCGGTTTGCAGGTGAAAGAAACAGATGTTTTCTGGGGAACACTTTCTCCGCACAACAAGACCCAAACCACTAAGCACTCTGTACCTGAAATAGCTGCACTCATAAGAAGGCAATCTAACCTGACACTGAAAGGCAACATGGTTGTTTTCCTGATTTCGTTGGATCTTAAAAGCTTTTTTGGCCCTTGTTGATCTTTAAATGCCTGCAGTCAGAGGTGTGCTTTGTGCTAATGTCTGAGTTTAAAAAAGAGGCCTCAGAGTAGCTCAAGGCAATGCCACTGAATTAGGAGTACATTGCAAGGCTTTTCAGCTATCTGCTACTAAAACACACTTCATTTCAATCATGCATAATTTATACTCTAAATGCCACCAAACCTGCCAGCCCATATAGAGACAGGTTCTTGTTCAGATATGGAACCTTCAGCTACAGTCAGAAAATACCTGCATAGCTGTATTTCTGGTAACGCGCTTTCATCGTATTTAACTTAAGAGTCTAATTCTAAGCAAAGAAATGAGGAAAACAGAACCACAGTTTGGCCTGGATGAGGGCATGTTCTGCACATGGGGGTCGCCCCTCCTCATCACCTGGCAAAAGCACACGGCCGCACTCTGTGCAGTGACTGGGGGACGGGGGTGCTCTCGTTTCCTTTGGCTCTCGTTAAAGTCTGCCCCAAGTGCCAAGATGCTTTGCACTTGAAGACAGAAAACAACTTGGAAAAGTTATTCATCTGCTTTTCGTGTCTTATGACCAGGCTCAGATCGAGTCTCCTTTAGGACTGCACACATTCACTGTCCTGGGTATCTGTCTATCAACTAGCAGAATGTACCAGGGCACTATTTTCAAACCAATCAGTTCCTTTCAAACCAATTTAGCAGAGAGAGATACACTGCTCTCTGTATCAGCAAAGGCCAATGCCAAACACCTGAAAAGGAAATCCCGTAACGCACTCACGTGGTGAGGAAAATCACAGACCGTCCTGGTTGTGTGGATGACCACTTGCACACAAGATTGGGAGAGCTGCCTCGCTGCCTACTTTCATGTTATTATGCAATGGCCTTACTAACGTCATTGTTTTACATTGCTTATCTACCTATAAATAAAATATATATGTATAAATATATACGCATGTGCATGCAATACATAAATACATATATATATATATATTTACTTTGAATAGTTTCTTATGAATAAAAACCAATAAAGAGTAATGGAATAACAGCAGCAGAATAAATATTTCAACAACAGATTTAAGTTTCTGAATGATTACATTAAAGCAAACTGACAGTTAACAAACTCATCTTAGTTATATAGGAGTCTCAGCTGCTCTGGGCATAAAAGGTTATAAAGAATTCCAGTTATCTCTCATTATATTCTACAGTGCTGAAAGCAAGGAGTTAAAAAAAAAATGCCACAAATATAGAACTGAAAGCAACTATTTGCGCATATAAAACATATAGACAAATAAAAAGCACAGTACTGCACGTTACTATGGAATACTGCTTTATGGTGATTTACAATGAGATGAAGTCCCCACTGCTCAGTCTGTGCAGTCAAATAACATCAGGAGTACAACTACATTTGCAGCTGGTGGCATGTAGGAAGTTCATACAAGTAAGTAGGGGAGAACAGCTTTTACAAGAGGGGCAGATTGCTTATATTATTTAAATTCTATATAGTGTTTTCTGCTGTCGGTGTATTGTAGTTTCTAGCTCCAGAAAGGGAGTTGTCTTAAGAAATACTTCATTCTTCATAGTTTCCCTGTTTTTTAAAACATTTTTTTTCTTATTTCTGCCACTTTGGAATTTTCAGGATCCAGAAGGCTTTATTTTCCTCCTTTCCTAGAAATAAACTCATCTCTTCAAATACACAGCAATGTTACCTGCAATTCCTTTTCCAGAACAGAAGCTTTCCATTTAAAAGTCTTTAGCCATAACGATGCCCAAATGGTATTTATAGTAATTTAAGGAACTGGCAGTAAGCAGAAAGAAAAAGCATCTCCCTCTTATTTCTCCTGGAAATGGCAACCTTAAGAAAATCTCTATGGATGGTGATTAGGCTCCTCTTGCTAGATGCACCAGGAAGAATCACAGAATCATTTAGGTTGGGAAAGACCTTTAAGATCATCGAGTCCAACTGTAAACCTAGCACTGCCAAGTCCACCAGTAAACCATGTTCCTAAGTGCCATGTCTGCACATAATGAATGGAAGCCTTTACCCCCAGGCAATCTGGTAATGAAGATCCAATAGTTGTGAGTGGAGAAGGTAGCATGGGAAGAGCAAGGCAGCTCTTCCCCACGTGAAAACCCATCCTAACCTGTGGCAAACAAGGATGGTTCTACAATCTTCCCTGGAAAGCGAGAGCGATCGGAAGCAGTAAGATATGCAGCAACACTGTGGAGGAATTCAGCTGAGAGAAGGTTTTGCTGGGCAGGACAAGGAAGGAGCAGAAACAGGCTGTTCTCTATGGTCCATGAGCATTATTTGCTCAAGTAGTGTGGGGTGTGAATGACTGCCAAAATAGCATGACAAAATATGTTTTGACTGCCAAAACAGCATGACCACAATACCTGGAACTGCTTCACCTACTAGTGGAAGACGGCAACTATATAACTGTAAGAGGTGAAGCGGCAGAGTAATGTGGGACCACAAATAGGCAGCAGGGCTGACTCCTTTCACAAGACAGAAGGGAACGTCTGTTTGGGAAGGTTGCTCAGACTCCTACCTATCTCGCATAAAACCAAAACAGCCTTCCCTGACACTGTGACCAATCACTTCTGCGAGCCTGTAAGTGCAGTAAAGTCAAATCAAGAAGAGGAACTAACTCTCATCTCTTAGCCTGCTACCCAAATCTCTGTTATTGAAAAAACATGCAGTTCTTGGTCAGGATCTGTCTGACAGCTACTGGATTTTGTCTGATGAAGGTTTTCAAATTATCTGCCTGTTCTTTTCCTGCAAGATTCAGAACACACGCTAAAATGATTCAGGGAGTAATAAAAACTATTTAGAGTACAGTCCCGTACAATCTCATCTGACCCAAGAGACAACGTTGTAATCTCTCTCTCCTGGCCCTATAAAAACCTAATAAATTTGGTGAAACACATAAATGACACTCCACCCACGGCAGATCTCTCTTTTAGTTCTATAATCCCTCAACAGTGACCTTTAATTGTTTCATCATTGACTTCAGTGAATCAGTCTGCAAAACCCCTGCATACAATAAATACCATTTGCACATCTTTTAGATTAGAGGCCTTAA